GTTGTGTTACACATTATTGAGTTTTAGACTAACCATATCATTATTTTTTCCACATTTTCAGCCAACTTTGTGTGAACAAGTTTCGGTAACCGAAGTTTAATTTAGAAGTTACATGTTATATTGTTAATGAATACTTAGTATAAAACGTATGTTATAATTTTTAATTACGTTATTGGTACTAAGCCTATCTTGGTAAGTGGGCAAGCCGTATCGTTTGTTGTTGATGATAAGTGTTGGCTTTGTCTGTTCTATTGTCACTTCGTTTAACTGTCTCTATCGAAGAATGTTTCATGCGTTTCGACATCTTCTTTCATATTATAAGTTTGCATTCACATCACTATGAAACGGCCAACACAAACTAACCTAAAAAGTGCTACAATATAAATCCATTTCATAAATAAATCTCATTGTTTTCTTCATATAATTCTGATGTGAATAACAGCTTATAAATGATATTCAGCTTTATTTTGCATTATATATAATGTATTTACTCTTGTGTCTGGGATTGCTCTTGTGGTTTAATTATATCTATTATAAAAACATTATGCAAAGACTTAATGAACAATTAGACAATAGATCTTATAAATTGCTTGATATTAAACAATTATTATTCTACTTTTATCCAAGAATGCGATGCTTGTCCCAGATAACCCCCGATTTAGTTTATGCTTATACTTAATATGCGTTAAGAAATTAACTATTTTATTCAAAATCTGAAATATATATACAAGAATGGGACCCGCTTTATAAATACATGTGAAAAAGTTAGCTTCAAGAAATGGTTTATGGGAATTGGCTATATGGTGCTTCAAATGCTTTGAGCAAAAAGAATAATTATGCAGTTTTGAAATCGAAGAAAGGGTGGAAACAAAAAAGATTGAAAAGAATAAAAAAAACTAGTCCTTAACTTACCATGGAAATTCGTTCATAAATGTCCGGGAAAAAAATACAATAAATCATTAAAGATTTTAAGGTCAAAATCAATTCACAAATTCACTGATTTACTGCACAAATATTTTAAATATTCATACATAATATTATAACATATACATATTTATATTGTGGATTCGTCTTGTGCTGCTAAAATACTCTTTACCAATAGATGTGTGATAATTAACTTTATTTTAATGTTTTCTAGGTCTGTAAACCACACGTGGAGGATTGAGGCAGAGGTATGGATTGAAGACAGGTACTTTACTCACTTATAAATTTAAATGGTCTTAAATATAATAGGGTAGTTCCTAATTTTTTTTATGACCCTTTGGTAGATTAATGTAAAACATTAGACACATATTTTTTTCTTTTCTCACAAAATTAAATACTTTCGACGATATATTTATCTGAAATATCGTGTGACGTCACTATGCACTACTTTTGTAGGGCAGTGACGTAACGACCTCCCACTTCTAAACTTAACTCCATTTTATCTAAGTATTGTAACTTTATACGAGAAAATAAAAAAATACATGTAAAATATTTTTTTATCATCTAACTGACGGACTAATTAGATTTTTAATTTTCATTCCATGGCAACTACTCTATTATGAGACACACGCAAAGGAAAATCTTTAAACAGCCTTATTCTTTAAAGATAATAAAAGTAAATGAAACATAAATAATAAGAGATCTCCACACAGACGACGATTAACTAAACGAACTCATAATTTACTTTAATTACAGGCGAACCATCCCACCTGCCGTAACATCAAGAAAGAACTTTGAAACAACTTTATTTTAATTTTTCCTAGTAATTAGTGTTGTTAATAAATGTCCTCTGAATAATATATCACCAAAAAATATCAAATGTTTTGCCTACTATCTAAATATCAAAACTATTTATCCTATCAAAACTTTTTGTATATTTCGAAATCACGCGTCTATGACATGATTTCTTTTATATCACTAACAATGTTCAATGCTCTGTTTAATACGAAATATAGTATTTTTAGATGATCTTTCTTTGTTATAAATTTTACCACAGAAATTAATATTCGCTATTAGATAAGACTTATCAAAAATACAGTAATATCTCTTGAATATTTTTTACTTTTTCGAACCTAGGCTGTTTGTTACGAATGCAACGGTATTTTTTTATATTTGGACCAAATTTCTTGAGCATTTATTTTGGGTCGTTTGATCTTTTATTTTTTTAAATTTTAAATTGTTGAACTTTGATAATATGTACTGTCTACCTATACAAATGTGTTTATCTGCTTGTAAATCCTACCACTTTATAGGTGTTATATGAATAGATATTTACACTTTATAAATATCAGTCCATTTATGAAATGGACGTATGTTTCGGCTGATTTCTGTATTCAAAGTTCCAAGTTATAACGACTATAATATAACTAGCATTTTGATAGCATAGCGTGTATTGGGCCCATGTTAGCACCACGGCGGGTTAGTAAATTATTTACGTAATATGTTTTAATCGCTTTATAGCTGTAATCTATAACCGTGATCTATATTTTGAAACGAAAATTTGTACTTAATCAAATTGTTGTTTGTTTAAGTGAAATTAAATTAGTACATAATTAAGGACTTGTGCTATCTTGCGTTTTTACATAAATAAAATGTGTAATCGTAACTGGCCAATATTTTTAAAAATATATAATCTATCCTGTGTAACTACAGCAGATAATGCATTAAATATCTTTTTACTGTGTGTGTATTAATGTATGTAAAAACAGCTTTGTAGTTAGAAATTGTAAAAATTCACACTAGGTAATTAGATGTTTCAAATAAATAGCCACTCATTAGTTATATTAATCATTATGATATTCGTGGCTCCTTTACATTTGGTCGTAACTTGAATGCCCTGTACATTCACCAATCTATCATTGCACTGCAGCATGGCGTGAATGGGAACGATTAAACTATAATTGCCACATTAAAAAATATATGTCTGAAGCGACCAAGTGTAGTGGAGCCTTAACATTTACTATAAACATAGATTTATAGAAATTATTGGGAGGATTGGCCAGTAACTTACTCGAAATTTAGATGAATGGGATTTTGGGATGAATATTATCATATTGAGATCGGTCCTTTATTCGAGATCATGTATCGAGACCGATATTTAAAAGTACGTAAGTTGCACATCGTTATTGTTGACAGTCTCATTAGGGCGAGATATTAGATCGTAATTATAAGTATGACGTCACGATTTTGAAACACAGTACCTATTTTGTTGAATGTTCTAATTTGGATGAGGTGAGGTGATGATTAACCTTACCTAATAATGTAAAATTTTATGACAATATTTTATCATATTCTGTAGTTATTTTTCTAGATACGACTAGGCCAATAATGCAATCTACATGAGATATGAGAAAAAGAACATTTCTCCAAATATTGTTCGACTCCATTTTCAAACAAGCCAAAAATAACACTGCTGTACATTAACGGTTGAAGTCCAAGTTCAAAAAATTTAAATTAAGTCTATTTTTTTTTTAATATTTTATCATACCTACTATGTCTGATCGCCTAGAATGTTGATACATTTACAGACATAGTGTAAATATTGTTCTTCCAATACAACTGACAATAAATTGTCATTATCATTTGTAAAAGAAAGCATTGTAATTGAGTATTGATTGTGGTAACAATGTTTTGGGGATTCCCCGGGTGAGCAAAAATGTATTGACATTGCCAGTTATAAAAATTGTATCGTAGTCAATACTGTCTTGGCTAAAACATGCCATCTTCCAACAGGATTATATCAAATTATAAGCGTGGTAAAAATATCAACACTTCTGCCTATCTCTTTGGTGATCAACCATCAGGATATTATGTTTTGTAAGTTGTTATAATACTGTGTTTCCAGAACGTTGACAAAAATAACATTCACTGTAAGGTAAAAAGATAACACACCACAAGTATGTTATGGGATTTAGATAATAATTTGGCTGTTACTTATAGCGTTGTTTACAACACTATGACGTTAGCGCAACACTAGTCTTCTTCAGTGTTGCCGCGCTATATTTTAAACAACATTGTAGGTAGGTAAGCCATAGCTATAAGCATTGTGGTCATAAAATATAAATTAAAATGAAATAAAAATGTTGTAACTGAAACGATGTTTCATTTATGGACTATATCACTCTTTAGACTCCTGACTATCTTCAAGGCACAAAAAAGAGAAACAAACTCTAAACTCAACAGATTTAAAAGTTTGAAATGTTCGAGAGCAACACGTTTGGTGCATCTTTACTAAATAATAAAAACTAACACAGTATTAAAGAACCAAGGGTCTTCAGAAGGAAATTGATATTATGAGTTAGCATTAGCCGTAGAGTATATAAGATATAATGTAAGGCATTAGCAGATCAGTAATGTTTAAAAATAAGGCGTTTGATATACAGTCTGTACGCACGTGCTGACGTGCGGAACAACTGGTTGATAAGAGTCACTAACTTCAACTTAATTTATTACGTAACAAAATGTTCACGCGACACGTACGCGTCGCCGAACACTTTTGTATACCTAGGACGACGCGGGCGTCCGCTATACATACCCGGTATCGAGCCTCGTTTAAAATAATCGCTGTAGGACTATGTATGGGAAGGTTTAAAAAATAGTTACCAGCTCAAAAATCTGAAAACCTCGTCAGTCAAAATCTTTGAACTGTCAGTTACCTTACCTTATGTCATTGCTGTTATCTGATAACGTCAAAGTCAGTAAGTTCCTTTGCTTGCTGTCCAATACGTGTCGCGAATAAAGCGAGAATTATTTGGAAAAATCAATTAATTTTTAGTATAATTAATTTTATTTGCAGTGTAAATTTAATCACTATAAATAGTTCGTAAACTCACCCATAGTAAATTGCGTAAAGTTAAGTTTTACTTCATTATTTATTGTTGTGAATTTCACAACATTAGTACACCGACTGAGACGGAGACTTTTAAGGTATTTTTGTTTATACACATATGGCAAAGACATTCGATTTGTAATAGTGTAGATTATAAACTTTTTTTTACTTCCAGGCTACGGAAGCTATGATCGAATTACCTCGGATCACCAGAGCTCTTCGTGCACACACTCAACTCGATAAGCCACGATGTTTGAAGCCGATCATAGACCCTACAAAATCTTTACAACTGAAGAAGAAAAATTTACAAAGGTAAGAAATCTTTTTATTAAATGTTTTCGTACCCTAAATCCATGTTTTCATACTTTTATTCTCATAAGAATGTTTTAGTATATTGTCCTTCAACTATCTTGTTAGAAAAATTATTATCTTATTAGAAAAACCCTTATTCTTGCTTGGCAAAAGCAAAGCATACAAATAAAATAGCAGAGATTTATTTATTCAAAAAACTGATTCAAACAATTTAATTTTTCCAAAATTGCATACACAATAATGTTGTGCAATATTCTTTCATATAAACAAATCTTTATTATTTCACAATATTAGTAACTACCACAGACTATATAAATATTTAAAATTCTTTTTTATTATGATTACATTTATACTTAGATTTCATTCAGGCATCTTATAATGTGTAAAAATAGTTGTGTAATAATATTTAAATGCAGAATCAAAGATGAGATGTACTAATAAGTTTTTACAGTCACTGACTTATTAATACCAATTATCTAAATAAAATTTCTAGGTTCAAATCCTACACAGATATTTACAATTATGTGAAACAAAACGAGCCCGAATCAACAGAAATATTGAAACTCTTTCCGCAACTAAAAGAAGCATGCAAGCTTCTCACGGGAGACCAGTCAGATGAAATCATTAAAGATGCTGCGGTTCTAACATTGAGAATGTTCCTGGATCAAGATATTGTAATGCTGAAGCATATGTCACAGCTTAGGCAAACTTTTGGAACTGTGCTCTCTGCGACGGCTAATAAGATTTGTGAGGTACGGTCTCTTGTGTAAATTCTGTTTGTTAGTTGAATATGGTGTATTTTTACCTGACTACAAGTGGTACAAAATGAAATTATAAAATAAGAATACTTATAAAATAACATGGTCAAGATAAATTCCAGCACAATTTTGCTGTTATCTGTACAATGCATCTCATGATACTTAATAATGCATTTTACTTCACTCGATCATATTTTTTAAATGCTTATCACTGATACATCACTTTTAATGTATACGGTTTGTAAACAATGGCAGTTTTAGTTATTAACCCATATATCCCCAAGCAGTCACCGGTGACCGTTCTCCACTAACTACATTATAGACCTTATTTCTAATGTTTAGAGACTACTTTTGTATGAACAAATTTAGGGGATGATTTTCAACAACTTTTATTTTCACTTTACAGATCGTAACAAAAATATCTGAGCAACTATCTGACAATACAAAGGACTACATAAGGACGGAGGAAGCTGAATCCAATAAAGAGAACCTCAAATTATGGGGAGATCACATCCAGTGTCATTACGTTCCTTACAAACCCGTGAAGAAACCACTTGCCAAGTTGACGAGTAAACCTGCTACTGCAAGTGCCTTCGTTACAGATTTTTCTATGAAATATGATAGTGCAAGTCAGGCTAAAGCGATTGCAGGACCTTCTAAAGTGCCTGCACCTGTACTGGAGTCTAAAGTTAGTATAATTTTGTTTGTGTTTATTTATAAGTTTGAAGGTAAGTTCTTTGAAATTGTGTATAGAGTATGAGTGTTAGATTTCAATAATGAAAACTTTTACTTGGTATATTTTTGCACTTTTATGTATCGAGTACAAGTCCTTATCGAAATATCGATCGCAAACAATTCTACCTCTAGACTCTTACTAAGAACTAAAACTATATTCTTCTAGAATCGAAACTGCAATATTGAACTTAAGTGAAATTATCAGTTAGTCATCAATACATAATATAATGTCACGCCCTTTATCCACGAAGGGTTAGGCAGAGGTACCGATTACGGCACTTAATGCCACTGTACAATGTAACACCCACTTTTCACCATTTATGTTATGAGTCTCATGTAAAACGGCGTGAGCCTATTGCTGTATACCGGGGACATACCCGACTCCGTGCTATCACTGATATTTTTTTTAAAAACCCAGTATTTCTTTGTCCGACTTGGCAATCGAACCAGAGACCCCTTGCCCAGCAGTCGCACATGCGACCACTCGGCCAACGAGGCAGTCTTAGTCATCAATATTTAGAAAAATATTAACAACCATTTCATAACATTATATTCCAAGCTAATCTACTTCATTATCAGCTTACAGATACAACATGAATACATACTTATTATTACCATTCACATTTGCAGTACGGCAAAACCTGGTTAGAAACTAAAGTAAAGGAACAATATGAAAATGCAGCTGGGATCTCAAGTGCGGACATACTTCAGTCCATAATCACATTACTGAACTCTCCACGGACTAATGACGAAATGCAAAATGATCTCTTTGAGTTACTTGGCTTTGATAAGTTCGAGTTCATACTGGATATACTGGAACATAGGCAGGATATCATCAATAGTTTGAAGGCACCTCCGGCTGGTCCTACCTTGTCTGAGAGTAAGTAGTTATATTAATAATAATAAAAAGAAAGTAAGAAAAACTGAGAACGATAAACAAATAAAATATCTAGACTTAGCTCACGAGGTTGTCGACATGTGGAATGTGGATTCGGCTATCATTGTGCCGATAGTCGTGTCGGCCAATGGGTTAATCCCTAAAAGCCTCGACATCCATCTTAGGAGGCTGGCGTTATGTGGGTGGATCAAGGGCCTGATACAGAAGGCAGTTCTCTTAGAAACGGCACGTATCGCAGGAGGTTTCTGTCTCTGGAGCCCTAATCACCGTTAGCTTGGACCATGCTCCCGCTACTGGTCGGCTCCTATTTTTTATACTTTTAAATATTATTTTTTATTTTATAAGTAGTATTTAAAAATGTAAATTGTAGAGAATTTTATATAAATATATGTGAATAAAAATGATTTTCCTGTTACTCACCACTCAATTGCTCTCCTAGCGAATGGCATGTCCCCGTCATGAAACTTATACTTATTGTAGTAGTAGGTGTTTTTATTTATTTCTACAAATACGTTACAAGGCAGCACTTTTACACGTCAATTTTATTACGCGAACGATCAGGCCGACATTTCTGACTACTCTGAGAAGAAATGCCAAAACAATTGATGCAGGTAGAAGTGCACATAAGCTTGTGAAAGATACTTATTACCAGCTATGTAATTATAGACTCCTCATAACACTTTTCCAACCTAGGCAGGCAAAGAGAATTTTAAAAGAAATCAGAGTATTAACAGAAAATTAAACATAACTTTATTGTTCTTACTTAACTCTTTGTTTAATTCTAATTTATTATTTTCTTTCTATTTCAGTTGCAGCAATACTCCCTGAAAACAAAATGCCGCAGTATCTATGCCAAGTGTCAGTGTTGTCTGAACAGGAGAAGATGTTAGCAAAAATAGTGAGAAAAGAAGAGAAGAAAGCAAAGAACAGAAGGATTGAAGAAGATGATGATGAACAGGAGATTAATATTTCTCAGATGAGAGCTAGAAGGTATACCTTTAGAACAATTATACTTTCTACAGAATTTTATCTAATGAATTTATTCACACAGTCTTAAAAATCTGTAAATCTATTATATTTTATTGACACTCTAAATACGCGTCGAAATTTTGCAAACACCTAATGCACTATTTTTTAACTAAACTGGTACTTATCGTCTGTGACCAAAAAAAAATTAATTACATTTTTTACCATAATTTCTTTAAAACAATGTTTGTGTTACCTCTGCAATAACACACTATAATTCCCACTTTCCAGATTGGCAGAGTTATCAAAACCAGTGGTACCATTTTCTACATCATCACGGTCAAGCAATATAGACCCCATTCTCCAAAAGATATCATATTTCCAAACTAAAGTGCAGTATCCGAATGTGTATGACTCGTCTATCAATGCTAAAAATTCAGCCGGTAAGTATACCACAACAAACTAGCTAATTTAGTGTAGTTAATTAAAACAAAGTAATGTAGTAAAGTTAATAGTTGTCAGTAGTAGCACGCAGTCTGAAATTGTGCCCGGGATATGGCAATAGGCTCACCCCCTATTACATGAGACTCATAACATAATTTGTGAAAAGTGGTTGTTACATTGTACAGTGGTATCAAATGCCGTAATGAGTACCTACCCGTTGGGGAATCTCAGGTCGGCAATATGAAGCTGGTAGCACGAAAATAAGGAAATTATCTCAGATTCGAGGTTTATTACTACCCTAAACTCAATGTTAGTCCCATCTAGATACTATTATATTCTTGTCTTTAATATATTGTATAATTGTTACAATTGTTTCTTTTTTAAAAGTGATGTCAGAACATCTCCAAGATATCTCAAAATCTAAAAAATACTCATTGACTGGACTAACATTAAACATTCATTTCTTTTTGTACCTTTTCTTCTTCTAGTATTGTAACTGTTTGATTTCTTTATTACTGACTTCAAAAAATGGAGGAAGTACTATGTTGGCTGATTGATTTTTTAAATTATTTTGTAATGTAATTATTATAAAATGGTGTCAACATAATAATAACATTCCTATCATATCGTACCTTTCCCAGGATTCGTGTCAGGCCTCAAACTGATACTACCGGAGAATGCAGTAAGGAAAGATACCAAAGAAATGGAAGAAGTCATCATTCCTAAGAATGACCCTCCACCTCTAACAGTTGGAAACCAGCGCGTACCCGTAGCTGAATTGGATGAGGTATTATTTGTTTACCTACTGACCTAAAAGAAATATGATTGCTTATTTTTTATGCTAACTAACGAGTTCTCTTCAGTGTTATTTTTTAGTAATTATGCTACTTATAGCGTCATAATGTGGAAATGCCTCGTTGACCGAGTGGTCGCAAGTGCGACTGCCGGGCAAGGGGTCTCGGGTTCGATTCCCGGGTCGGGCAAAGTATTACTGGGTTTTTTATAAATTCTCATTAGTAGCACGGAATTTGGAATTGTGCCCGGTATATGGCAATAGGCTCACCCCCTGTGAACAGTGGGTGGTACATTGTACAGTAACATAATTTATACCTCTGCCTACCCCTTCGGGAATAAAAGGCGTGATGTTATCTTATGTTAATGTGGAAATAAAATTATTTCTTCTATTTGGTTGAGATAGTGTAAGTGCCGTAAAGTCTACTAATGATGTTTATTTATTTATAATTGAACTTAGACAAAATACGTTTTTGTTTTTCACCTGAAAGAAGGACAATCAAAACATATTTTTTGGTTTCTTCTAGTCGATTGCTACAAATCCATAGTCAACCTCTTATTTTTGTTTAAATATGCATTATTACAAAGACACACAGAAGCACTTAATAAAATTCCCATTCCCTAATCTAAACCAATATTAAAACAATATTTTCCCTTCTAGATCGGTCAAATGGCCTTCGAGAATATAAAAGAACTGAACAGGATTCAATCAGTGGTATTCCAGACAGCTTACAACACAAATGAAAACTTATTAATCTGTGCCCCCACTGGGGCGGGTAAGACGAACATTGCCTTACTAACTGTGGTACATCAGATCAAACAACATATTGAGAACAATGTTATTATGAAGAATAAATTTAAGGTAAGGTTACTTAAAGTAATTTCACTAGTAACTTAGAATGTAGGCTATCGCTTTTGAATTTACTGCCAGAGAAATGTTATGGTTTTGTAGAATAAGAGCCAATATCGAACTACTGGATGGAACATTAATATTAAAACTGAATAGCTGATTAATAGATAAACACGTCATTTAACTTTTTTGATTACCATGCTTCGGACATTGTAGAACATACTTTTTTAAAAAGAGTAACGAATAGAGTTTCTTGCTCGTTCTTCTCCATTCGAATCTACATTTTGGAATGAGCACCTAGCTTCACCTAGTTTCACTGACGGACTGACTGACAGACTATTATTTATTTTGTATTTGTTGACGTTTCAAAAGTACCAAACTATGGTTTAATTGAAATAAATGCTTTGACTTTGGCGCAAAGGGGCCGGCTCGACCGGAGTGATACCGCGGCCTCGCAGAAAACCGACGTGAAGCAACGCTTGCGTTGTGTTTCGTCGTGTGAGTGAGGTTACCGGAGGCCCAATTACAATCTCGAAATAGTTCATTTCAATTTATCTTTATTTCTAAAATTGTAATTGTTACAAAATTCCCCAGATCATAATATAGACTGTTCCATTTGTCACAGATAATCTACATAGCTCCAATGAAGGCGTTGGCATCGGAAATGACGGCGTCCTTCGGCCGTCGTCTCAAAGGGCTTGGTATTCTAGTGAGGGAACTGACAGGAGATATGAAGTTGACCAAATCTGAAGTACAACAGACGCAGATGATTGTCACTACTCCTGAGAAGTGGGATGTTGTAACCAGGAAGGGAGCCAGTGAGTAGAGTTATAATTAACATAATTTATTGATGATAAAGCTGAAAATGGTTTGCAATAGTAAATAGTTGTGTGTCTATGCGGTGTGGGAGCTCATGAGATAAATGCAAGCTGTTAATAATATGAACCGAATCCTTACTATTCTTACTATTCTTACTAATATTATAAATCGGAAAGTGAGTTTGTTTGTTTGTTCCACTTTCACGCCGTAACTACTAAACCGATTGTTTTGAATTTTTGCAGACGTAAAGTTAGAAGTCCGGATTAAATAATAGGGTACTTTTTAACCCGGAAAAAATTGATATTCCCGAGGAAAAACAAAAGTATTGGTATAGATGGCGCTGTGTGTATTGGTATATGTCATATAGGCTACTTTTTATTCTTTTGTGACGCGAGCGAAGCCGCGGGTAAAAGCTAGTTGATGATAAAGCTGGAAATGGTTTGCAATTGTAAATAGTAATGTGTCTATGTGGTGTGGGAACTCATGAGATAAATGCAAGCTGTTAATAATATGAATTGAATACGAAATGAATGTTCAACGTCTCATTCACAATCGAGAAATTACCTCAGACTAAGTGTCAACTTTATTTCAAGCTTTTACTTTTAAATTATTTACTTACTCATTCACTCCAGTCTTTAAAAACCAGACACAGCCATTAAAAGTAATATTAGAAAATAAAAGAAAATTGATTGTTTTATAATACACAACATATCATAACATCACGCCGTTTATCCCTGAAGCGGTAGGCAGAGGCGTACAATATGCCACTGTACAATGTAACACCCACTTTTCACTATTTATGTTATGAGTCCCATGTAATAGGGGGTGAGCCTATTGCCATATACCGGGCACAATTCCAGACTCCGTGCTACTACTGAGAATTTTTAAAAAACCCAGTAATATTTTGCCCGACCCGGGAATCGAACCACTCGGCCAACGAGAATTCAAAAATACACCTCATATGCCAATTTAAAACACACAAGACTGTAAAATAATTAATTTACACATTTTATTTTATATTTTAGCCGACACGGAACTAGCATCAATAGTAAAACTTATAATTATCGACGAAGTTCACTTGTTGCACGGCGATAGAGGTCCGATTGTCGAGGCGATTGTTGCAAGAACGCTGCGACAAGTCGAGTCGACGCAGAACATGATACGCATAGTCGGACTGTCTGCTACACTGCCCAACTATGTGGATGTGGCTAGGTAAGTCATATAGCTTTTTTGTTGAAGTATCATTAAGTACATAACTTACGTACAAAGTGTACGTCGGTTGTGCTCGACTAGTTTCAAGCCATAACGGGGCTTATAGAATTGAACTTCATGCGTGTTGAAAAGATATCTCGCAGCTAATTCAATCCGCCAGCATGAAACTAAAAGCGCTTCCTTGAACCTACCTTTTTCATGAATTACTGAATACCTGATTAATGGCGGAATACTGAAACGCTACTCAATTTTAAGTCGTGCTCAAATATCGTGCCATCTCTTTCATTTTACAAAGAATTTGTAGAGATAGAACTATACTTAAGCACGACTTAAAATTGAGTAGCGTTTCAGTATTTCGACATAAGCTCCCCAAGCATTAATAAATCCTTGAGTGTTATAGGTATCCAATAATGTCTTACCATTTGCTTATTAGCCCACCATTACCTAAAAATAAGATAAATTATAAGAATCGACCTTTCTTTCTCTTCTATATCTTATTTGACTGCACGGCTGGCGCGGTGGTTGGGCAACTGACTGCCGTGCAACGTGTCACGGGTTCGATTCCCGCACGGAACAACTCTTATCTTATTGGACTGCATGATTAGCGCGGTGATTGGGCAACTGACTGCTGTGCAAAGTGTCGCGGGTTCGATTCCCGCACGGAACAACTCTTTGTGTGATCCACAGATTGTTGTTCCAAGTCTGGGTGTCATGTGTATGTAAACTTGTATGTTTGTAAACGCACCCACGATACAGTAGAAAACCCTAGGTTGGGGCAACGATTTAAAAAAATGTATGTATGTGTTTTTATCTCCAGGTTCTTACGAGTGAATCCCAACATCGGTTTATTTTACTTCGACTCCCGGTTCCGTCCAGTGCCATTGGAACAACAGTTCATTGGTGTTAAGGAAACTGGCAGCGGCGGAGGAATGCATCTTAGAACGGTATATTTTTTTTTAAGGGGGGAAAATCATCTAATGACTGCTCCCGCCTGGGTGAGGCGGGAGGGAGTGTCAGACTCTTACTGACTAAAAACCACCCCGTTCCTTCTTCTGCACGTCGAGCCGGAGCCCCGGTAACCCGTTAGGTTCTCCGCGACCGTTAAGTTCTCCGAGAACGGTATAGAAACTCTTTTAGTTAACATTTTGTAATTTATCTGTGGACTTGAACAATATTACTTCGTAGTCAAAAATGTTACATTATTAATCCTTAAGATTAAGATGAGTCCTGAACTTGAAATTAACTAGATTGCTTTCTTTTGACCCTTATTTGTAACACTACTACTTTGTTTGTTCCTAACATACTAAGCATTGTAAATAAAGTCTATAATGGAGTGTCATCGTATCTATGATACTCCAAGTAACTGTGGAGTTTTTCACTAGACAAAAAGCAAATAACTTCATTAGGGAACTGATTCTTATCAACAGACAGACTTTAAATATTAAATATTTTATAAGGCTTTCAAAAGTCAGTTTATTGATGTAATTGTAATAAATTATTTAACTCAGCTACCTATACAAGAATACAGTATCGATAAACTATTTAATACCCTGTATTGTTTTGTGCATCTTCTATCGCTTATACCACGGGGAGTGCTCTGAGGAATTATTTTCGCCATCGACCTACACGACAGCAATTTCATCCCCATCATGTTGATGGTTGGAAGGCTGAACTGTGCACTTGTCTCGTAGCTTTCTGCTTCGAACAGCAAAACTGCGAAATGATCTATCGTCGCGTCGGCGGTATTTCCGAACCGATACGACCTTCAAACTTTCAAGAAAAGATATTTATGTACATATTTTGTATTTATTATATATTTTTATACAGTATTTATAATTACTATTAGTTATTTATTTTGTTTTATTGCATATTACACAAGCGTATTTTCGCTGATTCTCTATTTAACCCATAGTTTGACTGGGAGAAAATGCCATATGGCATTTAGTCCGTAGTAAGGCCTTAAGTACCTTATTTTTGTGTGCATTAAAGAGTTAATAAATAAATAAAAAATACTGTATTCCTTTTTAAAAGGCCGGCAACGCACCTGTGACTCCTCTGGTGTTTCTGGTGTTCATAGGCGGCGCTGATCGCTTACCATCAGGTGATCCGTCTGCTCGTTTACCTCCTATTCCATAAAATAACACCCCGTGTTACACCCACAGATACAAACTATGAACGAGATATGCTACGACAAAGCAGTAGACATGGTACAAAAAGGCCACCAAGTAATGGTATTCGTGCATGCGCGTAACGCAACGCATCAAACGGCTATGGTCCTTAAAGAAATAGCCCAGAAGAAGGGACATTTGAAACATTTTGAGCCAGAAGATACAGGCGCTTTCCTTAAAGCCAAGAAGTCTATAAGTAGCAGCCCTAATAAGCAGCTTGGTGAACTGTTCGCTAGTGGATTCGCTTGTCATCATGCTGGTATGCTGAGGAGTGATCGGTGAGTTTGCAGCAATTATTATTTATGCATTAACCTAGTTTGACCTAGTTCAATATCATCAATGTGAATGATATTCGTATTCCCGGTGAATTTTCATATTTGTTGTTTCATATTTGTGTGATCAAAAACGACGGTATGAAAAACATGTCTAATTTTAGTAATTCAGGAATATTAATAGAATTGTTTAAAATTTTTATAGGAGTGAGCGAAGCTAAGCAACGATTTAAATTCAGTCTTACTTTACTAAAAAATATTTTACAATCAAAACTGTATTCTATTCTTACAGAAACATGGTCGAAAAATACTTTGCGGAAGGTTTTATAAAAGTACTAGTTTGTACGTCAACTCTAGCGTGGGGTGTCAACTTACCAGCTCACGCTGTTATTATAAGAGTGAGTATTTTGTACATAAAATAAATAAATTTTGTACGTTCCGTCAAATACCAATACACTCAAGCATCTCATATCCCTTTCTCTGACTAACAATCGACTCTACATGCGAAGCAGCAGGAAGACCTACAACAATGTATAAATACTCGGTTGACATTCAAGAAAGAAAATAATCTATCAATAGATTTTCAACTCTATAGTTTCGGAATAAAGTCGAAAATCTATTAAGAAAACACAAATTGGTGCTAACATAAAATACATTATTTCTTTCAACAGGGTACAGAAATCTACGACCAAAGCCACGGTACATTCGTGGATCTAAGTATACTGGATGTGCTTCAAATATTTGGTCGAGCGGGAAGGCCGCAGTTCGATACTTCTGGAACGGGCATAATTATAACTACACATGATAAATTAACGCATTATTTGAAGTCCATGACCAATCAATTCCCTATTGAGAGTAACTTCATCAATCTGCTGGCTGATAATTTGAATGCTGAGGTTTGTGTTTACTGTTTCGTTTCATACTTTTTGCGATCATATTTTTTTCCAACTTGCGCCTTCATGCTAGCGTTTGTCCAGCGTAGGCATTCGATAAACGTATACGCCACGCAGACGCCGCTACTACGCAAGAGTGACGTTGTCGCGGCGTCAGTTTAAGAGTGTATGAATAGGTGGCGCATTGGACAAACTACGCTACGCTAGACAAACACTAGATGACTAGAGTGACGGTGGTGTTACATTTGTGAAGTCCTAGATTAAAAACTTTAACATAACATAACTTCACGCCTTTATCCCCGAAGTGGTAGACAGAGGTGCACATTACGGCACTTAATGCCACTGTACAATGTAACACCCACTTTTCACTATTTATGTTATGAGTCCTATGTAATAGGTGGTGTGCCTATTACATGGGACTCAAAATGGAAAAAAAAAGTTTGACTTAAAAGTCTGGTAAAGAGTAAAAAGGTAAAATAACATTTCATTTTTGTGCCAACATTCTTTCCTTAATGTGTTTGCTACTCAAGTAAAATTAAATACTTCTTTAGACAGCTGTATTATCTGTCTATCCATACGTTCATAATTTTGTTTTAACTTTCAGGTTGCGCTGGGTACCGTAACAAATATAGAAGAAGCTGTCGAGTGGCTCAGTTACACGTATCTCTTCGTGAGAATGAGAATTAATCCTCAGGTTAGTACCAAAAAATATTTTATATATAATATCACGCCTTTTATCCCCAAAGGGGTAAGCAGAGGTGCACATTACAGCACTTAATGCCACTGTACAGTGTAACTTGTCACTGTTATGAGTCCCATGTAATTGGGGGTGAGCCTATTGCCATATACCGGTCTCTATTGCAGACTCCGTGTTACTACTGAGAATTAAAAAAAAACTCACTATTACTTTGCCCGACCCTTGAATCAAACCCGAAACCCCTCGGTCGGCCTCGTTGGCCTATCAGTCGCACTTGCGACCACTCGGCCAACGTGGCCGCAGAGGTGTTACAAAATTAAATGCCGACAATTTTTGTCACATACTTAATTATCAATTTGAAGTTGGATAAACCAATTTTACTGTGTTAATCAGATTAAACTGTTATGATTTCTATTTCCGTAACCCTAAAGTCGAATTTACTCCAATCAACTTATTTCTCTCAATCATCCAGGTATACGGTCTATCATATACGGACGTACAAGAGGATCCGATGTTAGAGACTAGACGTCGCGAGCTGATCACTGCCGCCGCCATGCAACTAGACAATACACATATGATCAGGTTCAACGAACGGACTGGGCAGCTTAATATTACTGGTAAATATAGATTCAAGTCTTTTATGTAACGTTTTAAATCCCCGAATAGGTAGGCACCCAATCTTTATCTGTTTGTTATGCCATATCATAGGGTAAAGCTTTTACCGGATACTGACTACGATTTGTTAAGAGACGTGGTGGAGGTGCGGGTTTAAAACTTACCAACGGCAAGTACAAATGTGACTTTTTCTGAGTTATATGTACTTTCTAAGATTATTTAGACAACATTGACAAACGGTGAAGGAAAACATCTTTAGGAAACCTGGACTTATAATTTCTAATTATTATTTCTAATTACTATTTACTATTACTTATAATTTCTAATTATAAGTTTGAAATCGCCAACCCGTAATGAGCAAGGGTGGTGATTAATGGTCAAACCTTCTCCGTGGAGAAGAGGCGTTGCTCAGCAGTGGGCACTTATAGGCGGTTAATGTATGTACTACTACGATTCAATACTCCAAGAATTTTCCGACAAGCGAATAGCACTTTTCCAGCCTCAAACTCAAACTCGAGATGACTTGATCGGTAGTTGAACTTGCGATACTCGATCAACAAAGCAATCTCGACTAAGCTCAGATTACAATAAAATTGATCCCGACTCATGTCAAAGCAAAATAAAACTGAAACCAATGTTTTAAATCGTCGAGTACCGTATTTATAGACACAATTAAAGAACAATAGGTTGTGGTCACCGGTCACCGCTTGGTGTTTGACAGTTTAATGGAAATATTTCCCTTACAGATTTGGGTCGCACAGCGAGTCACTACTACATAACGTGTGAGACCATGGAGGTGTTCAACTCTATGGTCCGCAAGTCTATGACACAGGGGTATGTGCTGGAAATGCTCACCAGGTGCTCTGACTTCCAGCAGCTTAAAGTGAGTTTTATTACAAACATATTATACTATTTTTGACTCAAACTATTGTAAGATAAATGTCGGAATACATCGTTGCGTTTCACTACTCAATTTTAAGTCGAGCTTAAGTATAGTTCTATCTCTATAAATTCTTTGTAAAATGACAAAGATGGAAAATTGAGTAACGTTTCAGTATTCCGGCAAAAGTCTTGTAATCACAATGCGCCAACTTTTCGCTATCTGTCATAAAACGACAATAATTTAGTCTCATCTTCGACCCAATTGCATCACGCCTCTATAAGTAGATGTATTTATACAGACATTTTTAAAAGGTGTGTTAGTTCTGAAATACTAAGAAATTAATGAGTATTGCCATTCTCAGACACTATTCGACACCTTTATGCATCTACGGAAAGCCTAATAATGATCCAGAGACGATGCTCGCTCAGCAGTCAATTTTAAATCCTGAACAAACAGCATAAGATTCATTTTAAACTTTTCCAGGTGAGAAAAGAAGAGCTAACAGAGCTATGGAACCTCAAAGACCAGTACTGTGAGCTCCGCATCGAGGATGCGCCAGAAGATATACATTGGAAGATTAATATACTGCTGCAGACTTACCTGTCCAGGGGACGCGTCAATGGATCGTCGCTGCAGTCCGATTTGAATTATATTAGCCAGGTTTGTATTGAAATCTCAAAACATACATACTTCTAATAATATTGGTTATTTATCTAAACGAATTGGAGTGAAATTTGAAAATGATTTAATTGAAGATAAATAATGCGACATCCTTCCCGCAATAAACACTTTACTTTTAATAATTTTTGCAATATTTTTTTTAATAACATTGCAATCTATTGAAAGGCTCTTCCATTGTGATCAGTTTCATTTTGTTTAAAAACTTCAGTCCAATGGCATTCCTTTACTTTCTTGTAGGCATTATGTACCTTAAATCTATAATAATACGACTCATTTACCAATCACAACTATCCATATATTATTATATCCAAATATTAACGAATCTATCCACAGAACGCCGTCCGTATAGTCAGAGCTCTCTTCGAGATAACCCTACGCAAGAACAATGCGTACATGGCAGGGTTATACCTAAAAATGGCGAAAATGTTAGAACTACAACAGTGGGACTTCTATAGTGACATGCGACAGTTTAACTGTTTCACTATCGAGACGTTGAAGCATATCGAGTATCCGATGTTGAAACCCGACCAGATCAGAGATATGGACTGGAAGGAAGTCGGTAAGTGGCGTCTGCGAAAAATTATGTTAAAGACGTTGTTATTAGACTTATCGCTGTTTTAAACTCCAAACCATCGCTTGACTAAGAGTTACTTAGCTTGAGAGAGCGTCTAACCCCTTACCTTTACTGTTAGGTGTCACATATTCACATAATGGTTGCTTTTATGTGTGTGAGGCAAACGAACAAAATCATTTGATGGTAAGCGATCAGAACCGCAAAAATAGAACAAAATATCGCAAAAATAAAATATAAATATTAAGTTTCACTTATCTTAGCTTAAAAGTTCCTTAAAATTTTAGCTAGGTTGGGAAAATAGGTATAACAATACCCTTCCTATAGTCGGGTAAAAATAGTATAGAGTACGAATTTTCTCAGTTTTTTAAATAGATGTGGTGGCACGTGTGCGTCATGTATGTTACGAATTCTTATACTTTCATTTCAATACTTATAATTCTGAACTCCAACCAAAGGTAACTGAGAAAAAAAAACAAGTTATTATTTTAATGATCTCATCAATACAAAATACTGATTAATAACCATAAAAAAACGTGTTTCCTCAACAGGCGATTTGATCCGCAACCCGAAGAACGCTCGTCATCTAAAGAAGTGTGCTGACGAGTTCCCGCTACTGGAGATGGAAGCCAGCCTGCACCCCATCACGCGGACTGTGCTGAGGATACGACTGTCCATTACACCTAACTTCAAGTAAGTGACATAATTTTTATGACATATGGCAGCAAACCACCAGACGGATCATCTGATGGTAAGCAATCGACGCCGCCAATAAACATCGTGGTTTTTCAAGGGGGGGTGAGATTGAGTCTCCGAATGTAACATTGCCGACCGGAATGACACACAGAAAATCGGCGTGAATCAACGCTTGCGTTGTGTTTCGTCGTGTGAGTGAGGTTACCGAACGCCCAATTACCCCCTTCTCTATCTCCGCAATCTCCGAATTCCCAATAATCTTCAAATTCCTAATCCCCAAAACGCCGGTAACGCACTTGTTAAGCCTATAGTATTTCAGGTGTCCTTGGACGGCACCGATTGCTTACAATGGTAAGCAATCTTATTGACTTACGAACAGCTGGCAAACCTAATGAGGTAAGCCAGCTGTTCGTACGACAATAAGGTTTATCACATAAAAAAAATAGCAAGGCAAGGAAAGATAATACATTTTAATGAACAATTTGGTTGGTCCAATACTTCATACATACAGTACCTTCATACAGACTTAAAACTCAATAAATTTTCAGATGGAACGACCGATATCACGGCAAGGCTCCCGAAGCATTCTGGATCTGGGTGGAAGACCCGGAGACTGACATTATGTACTACCACGAATACTTCCTTATTACTAAGAAACAGGTAAGCCAGCAAAAATATACTATTTAGACTTTGCTGAAAGCTAATTAATATAAATGTTTCAATTGGGTACTTGCCAACTAGTGAAATTCAATACTTTTATCGAACTGTAAAAAACTACAAATGAATTTAGTACGAGATTGTGTATGGTGACGTCACGTTTTTTGGCGTCAAACAGATACTTATTTCTTAAAAATTTGCTGGAAAATTACTAAAGTTAATTTGGTAATAAAATCAGTTAATGAAAGTGTGATTATTTTTTAGTATATTGAGCAGTCCAAAAAATTTATTTTTGATTAAGGTAAGTACCCAATTGTTGCGTCAACATCTTAAATATTTTTTTACTTTACTTTAAGACTAGTGACTAGGTTCTAAATATATTATTAAACTCGTGGCATATTCCAACCTCACATGTCCACTAAATTGTAACTTTGCCGATGATTTTCCTTTCCTAGGTTCGTATAAATGAGATCCTTAAAAATATACGACAAAAATAGTTTAAGAAGTCAGTCCAGACGTTCTAGACTTCTAGAGTTTTGAACTATGCACACCTTTTATGTTTTAGGGATGATTTTTCCAACGCCAGATAAATTTTAACTGAGGAATAACTTTAGATATTCGACAATAATTAAAAAGAATTCTTTGACAATTCTCAATTCCTAAAAACTGTCAAATGTCAATTTTATACTACAGTTAAGAATTAACTGATGATTGAAGAATGGGCCCTTAGTTTTATAATTTCTAACATTACATGACTGTGTTTACAGGTCGTAACAAAAGAACCGCAAGAGTTGATAATCACGATACCAATCAGTGAGCCCCTCCCCCCTCAATACTACATCCGAGCAACGTCAGAGAGGTAACAACTTAATTATAAGACACATACATTTCAAAGATAATTCATTAATATTGTAACTAGACTGCCTCGTTGGCCGAGTGGTCGCAAATGCGACTGCCGGGCATTCGCGGGCGGGTTCGCTTCCCGAATCTGGCAGAGTATTACTGGGTCGCGAACATATTACTGGGTCGCGAACATATTACTGGGTTTTAAAAAAAATCTCACTAGTAGGACGGAGTCTGAAAATGTACCTGATATATGACAATGGGCTCACCCCCTATTTCATGGGACTCATAACATAAATAGTGAAAAGTGGGTGTTACATTGCACAGAGGCATTAAATGCCGTAATGTGCACCTCTGTCTACCCCGTTGGGGATAAAAGGCGTGATGTTATGTATTGTAACTAAAATGTTCTCTATTTTCAGATGGATTGGTTCAGAAAGTGTATTGCCGCTCACGTTCCAACACTTAATTCTGCCCGAGACTCATCCACCTCACACAGGTAACTTATAATAAATTACTACTTAAAAAGATATTTCCATTTCTATGTATAATAACTGGCGAAAGTAGATTTACGCTTCTGCTTCGCCCTTAAAATCAAGTTTCCGACCACTAATACACACATAGATAGAAGTATAGGTATATAGGATAGGATATAACATAGAAATAAAGGTTTTTCTATGTAAATTGAAACTCCTACAAGACCAAACTATTTGGTTAAGGGGTCTCGGGTTCGATTCCCGGGTCGGGCAAAGTTATTACTGGGTTTTAAAAAAGTTCTCAGTAGTAGCACGGAGTCTGGAATTGTACCCGGTATATGGCAATAGACTCATCCCCTATTACATGGGACTCATAACATAAATAGTGAAAATTGGGTGTTATATTGTACAGTTGCGTAATGTGCACCTCTGCTTACCCCTTCGGGGATAAAAGGCGTGATGTTATATTATGTTATGTTACGTACATACAAAGTCGCTGGCAGAAGCATCTTAGTTTGGTTGTATTTTCAAAATTCATATCACAAATTCGGGTGTGTTATGTTATCAAACAAGCATACATACAAATAATCAACATATTCTTCCACAGATCTCCTAGAACTGCAACCACTACCAGTGACAGCTCTAAACAACCCCAACTTCGAGATGTTATACAACTTCAGCCACTTCAACCCCATACAGACGCAGATATTCCACTGTTTGTACCACACAGACCATAATGTACTGCTCGGCGCTCCCACCGGGTCTGGCAAGACCATCGTCGCTGAAGTTGCCATGTTCAGAGTTTTTAATCAGTATCCTAATTGTAAGGTGAGAAAACTTGAAAATGTCATTCATTCATCATCATCAACAGCCATTAAATGCCCACTGCTGAGCAAAGTCTCTTCTCACCCGGAAAAGGTTTGAGCATTAACCACCACGCTTGCTTAATGCGGGTTGGCGATTTAAAACTTATAATTAGTAATTATAAGTCCACGTTTCCTTCACCGTTTGTCAGTGGTGTCTAAATAATCTTAGAAAGTACATATAACTCGGAAAAAGTCACATTGGTACTAACCGTTGGTAGGTTTCAAACTGGCACCCTCATTCATAAGAAGCGGGCGTCTTAAACCTCCGAGCCACCACGACATAAGTCGTCGTCGTCATAAAGAAAATGTGTCATTGCTTTACTAAAATTAATAGAAGTAAAAAGAGGATAAAAAGTTTTAGTGCTTAATTATCAGACTTGAATTGATTTGATGATTATAGTTGTTTTAGCTAATTTATGAGAATCACTAGTTGCCCGCGACTTCGTCCGCGTAGAATATGATTTCCTTTTTATCCCATGGGAGCATTTAATCGGGATAAAAAAGTATTCTATCACCTAACTCAGGCAATACACGCTGCCTGTATACCAAATGTTATCAAAATCCGTTTAGTAGTTTCTGCGTGTTTGACAGACAAACGTCTAAACAAAGTAACTTTCACAAAAATAGTATGACGTCATAATGTTGAAGAACAAAATTCGTAATAAATTTTAAAATTTGACTAATTCGGTACTGGTTATTGGTAGTATGAAACCGAAACTACGGTGATCTCAAACTAGAGATAGACAAACAGCTAACATAATAACTATTATTAACTTACAGGTCGTTTACATCGCACCACTGAAAGCTCTTGTAAAAGAAAGAATAAAGGATTGGAAAGTGCGTCTACAGGAAAGACTTGGAAAACAAGTTGTTGAGTTGACAGGTTAGTGAATTACACATTAAATATTTTGTGTAATAAATGCGATCGAAAGTAGCTTAGACAAAATTCTTTTTCATTTGGTCAGACACCTTTCATAGTCAAAGTCAAAAACATTTATTTCAATTAGACCAGAAAGGCACTTTTGAACGTCAACAAAAAATTGAAAGTGAAGCTATTTGCTCATTCCAAAGTATAGATTTCTATTGAGAAGAACGAGCAAGAAACTCCATAAGTTACTCTTTTTTAATCAGGTTCACAATACAATTCTCTAGTTACATAGTTTTGCTGTTTGGATTGTGCGAGAAAAATGTAATACTAAAATCCAATCAAAGTGATCGAAAAAGAACTCGCACATTCATGTGCACACCGCTATACATTACTCCTCCCCTTTGTATCTGACACTTAGCATAAGATTGTGTAGAATAGACTTTATGGTCGGCAAAGCATTCGCTATGCTACTAGTTTTACAGTTGTATTTAGACTGCATCGACCGCTTACCATCCAAAGGTCTTTGTATTTTTTTTAAATTGGGACAAGCCCGCCACAACCTCCCAAAACCGCTGCAACTCTAAGCCAGGATCTACAGTAGATACAACCATGAAAACACCGGAACACTGAAGTCCGGCGCGTCCCAGGTCATGGTTCCCGCAACGAAGTGAATCAGAAGATATTATAAGGGGAGAAAATTATATAAAAAAAAACGATAGTTTAGATAGTTGTTATTTACAAAATATTTTTATCAATATTCTCTTAAGACCAATATTAATATTTCAGGTGACGTATCACCTGACATCCGAGCGATCCGTAACTCGCATGTGATAGTGACAACTCCTGAAAAATGGGACGGCATCAGTCGATCCTGGCAGACCAGGAACTATGTCAAAGATGTCGCACTGATAGTCATTGATGAAATACATCTGCTGGGAGAGGATAGAGGACCTGTGCTAGAAGTTATCGTGTCCAGGTGAGCTTAAATTCTATATTAAAATGTTTAGAATACATTATTGTTTGCAGAAAAGGGATAAAATTGGCCCAGACAAAATGTATTGTACTTACAATTACATATTATATTGTAAAAAGTTTGTTGACCTTTTTTCTAAGACTTGCTCCCGATTTTCGGTGTCAAAACACTCTAGAAATGTACGGAATCTATAATCAGGGCCTATGTTTACCAACACTATCGATACCGCAGTCGACATCTGCCTACCTCTTTATAAAAGCTTAACAGTATGTTGTTCAGATGCGTTACTAGTAAAAACATTAGGGACAATTCTAATCAAATATATTCTATTTCAGGACAAACTTCATAGAATCCCACACATCTCGAAAATTGCGTATCATTGGTCTCTCCACTGCTCTAGCCAACGCCAAGGATCTAGCGAACTGGTTGAATATCGGAGAAATGGGACTGTACAACTTCAGGCCTTCGGTGCGACCTGTGCCTTTGGAGGTATGTGATAATAAATCCTAACTACATTTATTTCGCTCTACTCATGCTAAAGAAGGTAGTAGTCTTCAGTAGTTTTATGTTGAAAGGTAAAGCACTAATATGTTTTTTAATAAGAAGACAACTTGCCACGGCTTTAATATTTTATTACTTTTTGTAAAAACCTGACAGCCTCGTTGGCCGAGTGGTCGCAAGTGCGACTGCCGGGCAAGTGGTCTCGGGTTCGATTCCCGGGTAGCGCAAAGTATTACTGGGTTTTAAAAAAAAAATCTCAGTAGTAGCACAGAGTCTGGAATTGTGCCCGGTATATGGCAATAGGTTCACATAGGACTCATAACATAATTAGTCAAAAGTGGGTGTTATAATGTACAGGTACAGTGGCATAATGTGCACCTCCGCCTACCCCTTCGGGGATAAAAGGCGTGATGTTATGTTTATATTATGTTGTAAAAACCCGCATCCACACATTCCGTTAACTTTACCCCTTTACTTGCGCAAGTGCAAAACCATTTGCGCAACGATGCGCAACACTAAACCTTATCATAAGTAACTAAGTCATATATTTGTTCCCACAGGTGCATATATCAGGCCACCCCGGCCGCCACTACTGCCCCCGCATGATGACAATGAACAAGCCAACGTTCCAAGCTATACGCACTCACTCGCCGTGCGCGCCTACACTAGTGTTCGTGTCCAGTAGGCGGCAGACTAGGTGCGTGGTATTATAATATCGTTTTATTATAAACTAACGGACCCAACAGACGTTGTCCTACATATCCACTTGAATGTGTAAACAAAAATTCATTCAAATTAGTTCAGCTGTTTAGGATAAATAACCTAAACATCGACTGCAGCGACATCTGCCGGGCTGATTTGTGAATCTAAACCATTCCCAGATCCCCTTGAACACACACAAAAAATTTCATCAAAATCGGTCCAGTCATATGAGAGAAGTTTAGTGACATACACACTCATAGAAGAATTATATATATAAAGATATAGAATAAAATTGTACCATGAAACAATATATTCTTGTCACTGTTTACGACAGTGACCTGGAATGTCAGTTAATTTGATGATCAACAGTCAATATTCTAGATTTAGCAAAATATGCAGTTAACGACTAAATACGTTGAGAGAGCGAAAGAGTCGTTTTATTATTTGTTAAGTAGTTTATGTTAATAACAACATTATTTAGGAATACAATGTTTCGTGGATTTTCATCTTTTTCCCTGATCTTATGTGACAAATCAACTCTTACAGGCTAACCGCTTTAGATCTAATAGCTTACTTGGCTGCTGAAGACAATCCCAAACAATGGCTGCACATGCAAGAATCAGAGATGGAACAAATTCTTGCCAACATTCGGGAATCGAACTTAAAACTGACGCTAGCGTTTGGTATTGGTATCCATCATGCTGGTTTGCACGAAAGAGATAGAACTACTGTTGAAGAGTTATTTATTAATCAGAAAATACAGGTATGTTTCAAAATTATAGTACTTTTTGCTAAGGCATTATTCTTTTAACCTTGAATAATCATAAACGCGACATCGAAAACTTTGAGTTGAAAAAACAAAGATCCTCTCGACGATATTTTCAGTAATAAGAATTATTTGTGAATTCCTCATTAATAATGAAAATAAAGTTGTCCCTATTATTCCTTCACGGCAAAATGACTGAAAGGCTCGGAATGGAATTAGGCAAAGGAGTAGGCTAGGTTTGGAATATCACATTTCACCACGGGAAGCGGGCGAATCCGCTACCAGAAGCTAGTTACTAACTTAAACTGAGTGTGCAATAAGTACGCCGTTAGCTATCCCTGTCAATACTAAAAGTATTTGTTTTTGTAATATAAGTAAAATATTACCTTAGTATCCAAATAATTTAAATATTTAACTTCATTTTCAGGTTCTTATCTGCACAGCCACTCTAGCATGGGGCGTGAACTTCCCAGCCCACTTGGTGGTCATCAAGGGCACAGAGTACTACGATGGCAAACAGAAGAGATACGTGGACATGCCCATAACGGATGTCTTGCAGATGATGGGCAGAGCTGGACGTCCACAGGTATTATTTGTATAGTTTTTTGTTGAGAAATTATGTTTGCGCAAAGTTGGGTTGTTTTGCGCAAGTATGCGCAAGTTTTGAGGTAGTTTGCGCAACAAACGAATTTATCTTTTGAAATATTTGCTTACAAATAATTCTATTTATAATCTTTAGTAAGATGCAAATAAAAAACGCTTATGTTTCATATTGGCTATGTGCAAAGCGAGTAGTGGCGGACAGATAACGACCGCAGAGCAAAACACGTCAGAAATTGGAAACAAATGCAGATGATGCAAACCCGGTTTTTATTATTATATTCATTTTACAGTAAAACTATTGAATAAATTGCACTTAAATAATGTCAACAATACTATTTTAATCTTTGGTTTTATTTATATTTGCAAAGAAAATTATAATGTTTACATTGTTATTATTTGACAGCTTCCCCAAATGTTGTAAACGCTACGCGTCGCCACCGTAGCGCACATAGCCAATACGTGATGCGTACAATGTGTCATACATATGTGTTTGTTTTATGAACTAAAATCGCTATTTGTACAAAAGTACAAGATATCGAGTTAAGGATTATTATGCCCTTAAAGCAACACGACATCCAGCTTCACGTTATTAAAAATATTTAATACTCTCGCTTCTAGTATGACAACGAAGGTGTAGCAGTAGTGTTGGTACACGATCAGAAGAAGAACTTCTACAAGAAGTTCCTTTACGAACCGTTCCCAGTGGAGTCTAGTCTGCTGGAAGTGCTGCCCGACCATCTTAATGCTGAAATTGTAGCTGGTAAGTAAAACAACAAAAGGAAGATGATATTTTCTTGAAATTATTATTTTGAATTAGTAAATCACATTAGTTCTTAAAAATTATATGAATCAAACCGCTATTGTGTATGATTCTTTCTATATTCCTCACTTAAATACGAAATAGTGGTACATTGAGAAATGCAATCGTTTATTTCTTTGTCAACTAATTTTTTTTCAATAACATTGAATTTTATTATGCAATAAAAGGTTTTAATTACTGAGATGCCATGTAAGCACACAAATCCTTATCCTTACTTCCTTACTTATATTATAAATCGGAAAGTGAGTTTGTTTGTTTGTTTGTTCCGCCTTCACGACGTAACTACTGAACCGATTGCTTTGAAATTTTGCAGAGGTGAAGTTAGAAGTCTGGATTTAATAATAGGGTACTTTTTATCTCGGAAAAAATTGATGTTCCCGAGGGAAAACAAAAGTATTGGTATAGATGGCGCTGTGTGTATTGGTATATGTCACATAGGCTACTTTTTATCCTTTTGTGACATGAGCGAAGCCGCGGGTAAAAGCTAGTAGTTAATAAGCAAAAAAGGAGTATTTACACTCACATGAGACCCCTTTCACTTAACATGCCTTTTAAACACAAACGCAACCAAATATCACCATTAAATCACTTCTAGGTACGGTCCAAACAAAACAAGACATCCTAGACTACATGACTTGGACGTATTTCTTCCGTCGCCTGCTAAAGAACCCGTCCTACTACAACCTGGAGAGCGTGGAGCCTCAGGACGTCAACTACTACCTGTCTAACTTGGTACAGAGCTCGTTGGATGCACTGGCTAATGCTAACTGCTTGGAGATTGAGGAGGTAAGACATGCTTTGACTGTATTATACTTTTGAATAATTATCTGCGTATTTCCTTATTAATCTTGGAAACGTTTTTAGTATAGGAACAGTTCAAATGTACTTAAGAAAATTATTAATCCTTTCAATAGGATTCATACTCCATTCTCTGTATCACACAAGGTTTCGCTGGCAGATAATGGCTATGACACTAACCCTGAAATACTCAAACGCCACTTAGTTTAAGTTCGTGCTGAAGTATAGTTGTCACTACAAATACTTTGTAAAATTACAGAGGTGGCACGATATTTAAGTACAACTTAAAATTGACAGCGCAATTCCCAAGCGGTCACCGGTGACCGTTTTCCACTAACTCCGTTATAGGCCTTATTGTATATATGTTTAGAGATTAGTTTATAAACCGTACCCTACATTTGTTCAGACTTTTGTAAAAATAAATTTAGGGTACGATATTTCAACAGACTTTTTTGTACACCCTTTGGTGTACAAAAAATTCCATCGTAAATAGAACACTTACAAATTACGTCTAGAAGTGAAAACATCATAAATAACTAATTAGTGAAATTTAACGCTGTACCATTTTGTAATTATTTAAGCTTTCTGCATAAAGCTAGTACGCAGTTGTATGTATGTACCTACTAACACTCGAATACTGAAAGGAATCATACTCTACTTTAGCTTAACACATTTTTGATGTAAAATTATTTCTTTCCTATTATTTCTCAGGACCTCCGCACAGTCCACTACACGTGGATGGGTCGTATCGCATCGTACTACTACCTGTCGTACAAGACGATGGCGCACTTTACCCGCACACTTCACAACAACATGAACGTCGACGACTTGCTGCGGGTACTGGCCGACAGCGAGGAGTACGCCACTCTACCCGTCAGGCATAATGAGGACCTACTTAATGGGTGAGTGTCGTCAACTAATTAATTAATCTTGGAAAAAACAACATATTCTTCCGAAGTTCAGAGTGCTAAGTAAGCGCGTTCAACGCCCTGATTAGTTGGTTCACTGGAGCCGGCTAGTCAGCAGTCAGAGCTCCGAACGCGCTCGATACTAACACGTTACGAATTCGATAGTTATTCGTGCTTGGCACTCTGATTTCGTGTTACATCTGTGACAGATAAGGTGCGAAGTTCATCTTACTTAGCCATGAAGTCCCTACTGGTTAGCTTCACGTTAACCCAATAACATGTTTATGACTTTTGGCGCTCTGATTGGCTGTTTCACGTTATGCAACCAATAAGATAAGAGATAAGATCGTGGTAAAGGTTTCGGTCACTTTCACAAGGAATTTAAGTGAATAAAAGGAATGTATGTTTCTAAATTCGCGCGTCTAATAAACCACTCTAATATATGATTAAGATTAAATGCATCGCAACTTTGCCCTCAACGTTTTGCGTGAACAGATCTGAAAAATAAAACGATTTTTTATTCACACAAATAACTAATAATAACCTGAACGGCGTTACTCAACCAACCTGTTAACGCAGCTGTCTTCTATCCATCGGGAAATTGATTCTCCAGTCTCCACATTAAGTAATAAAAAAGGAGACTTAAATGAAACCCATTCTTTCTTCCAGCGAGCTCTCCCAGCAATGCCGGCTTCCAGTAGACGCTCTAAGCCTCGACTCATCCAACGTAAAAGCCTTCCTGCTACTACAAGCACACATGACTAGACTACAGCTACCTAACACTGACTACTTGACAGACACCAAGTCTGTACTGGATCAAACTATTAGAATATTACAGGTAAGATATTATTGATTTGATGTTTAAAACCTCTTTTTAAGGGGATAGAATATTCTTTTTATTTCGTTTTGTTTATTGTATAAATTGTGATTTCTGGGGCAAAAAATTAGCAACTGTTGAAGTGGTAAAATTATCTTCAAAATTCATAGTCAATATTTTCTTAAAGGATCAGTTGACTAACAAATACTGACTGTGACACAAATACTGTGTTTACCTTTTTAAAAAAATAAAAAACGTAAAGTTGATGTTGTTTTTATACGAAATTATGCGTTATATTTATGTTTATATTAAAACTTTCGTGAGACATACGGATTAGTTATTATGTTTTCGGCTCACATAAAGCCATGCTTGAAACTAGTCGAGTTCCTCGTCAAACAGTTACATGAGTAAGCCGAAAACATAATAATTAATTAGTATTGTAACTTTCGTGAGACATACTAAATAAATTATTATGTTTTCGGCTTACTCACGTAATAATTTGACGAGTCGACTAGTTTCAAGCCATGCTAGAGACTCATATGCTAATTAATTCCTTATATTTGTCTAAAACCTAACAAATCTAAACTTTTCAGGCAATGATAGATACATCAGCGGAAAACGGCTGGCTATCAGTCTGTCTATCCTGTCAGATGCTAATGCAAAGCATAGTTCAAGCAAGATGGCCGACAGAATCCCCCCTACTGACCCTCCCACACATAGACTCCCAACATTTGTACATATTCTCAAAAATGGCTAAAGATACTCACAAACCTTGCAATATGCTCAATGGATTGAAAGTGGTTTGTATGAGAAACTATGAGCTGTTAGCCAAGTATATGAGGAGGGAGTTCGAAGAGAATCAGATTGAACAGATACATAGGGTGAGTTCGTTTTAATAACCTTCATTAATTAGTTTATTGACGAAAAATAAATTTGTAAGTTGACGGTTTAAGTTCCATTTCTACTAAACTGCACGGTTGGCGCGGTGGCTGGGCAACTGGCTGGCGCGCAACGTGTCGCGGGTTCGATTCCTGTACAGAACAATTCTTTGTGGGATCCACAGATTGTTGTTCCGGGTCTGGATGTCATGTGTATGTGAACTTGATGAACTTGTATGTTTGTAAACGCACCCACGACACAGGAGAGAAGTTTCAGTTCAACGACAAGTGTGGGGCAAAGTTTAAAAAAAATAGTTTGAAATACGTACAATACAGTTTTACGTAAAATATTTAAAAACTAATCATGTTTAATTAAAGAGCCTCTCAAAATTGATTTCCTTAATTAATGTACAATAGGTATAGACATTCAAAACCTTTATAAAAATACTATAAGTAGATATTTTGTTTGTAAATTGTAATACGTATTTAACCGTATTTATTTTAAAGACAAACAACATTTTATTTTTGTGCTTATCCAAAAATATATTTTCTTCCAGGCCATATGTGATATGCCGACGTTGGACGTAAAGCTATCTGTCCGTGGTCTTTGGTTCGACAGTGAAGGTGAACAGGACAAACGCATACGGCAACCGCCGGCTAGAGACGAATGGTTGACGCTACATGCTGACCAGGTAAATACAGTGACCTTGTATTATAATAGAATTGTCGTAAAAAAATTATAATAAGTCATTCTCTAAGATAATAAATTAAAATAATAATAAGTCATTTGCCATTCAACGTGGCAATGCTGCCAGTCTTTTGGGCACCCTACCTCACGGTAGCGATGAGGAAAATGTTTTCTTTGATGCCTTATGATTTATTTTCATTATTATTATTTTTTCATTATTATTATTTTTTAAGGTATAAATATTTTAGTTTTAATTATTTATTTCAATAAGAAGTGTAAGATTTTATACCAAATATATAAAGAAATTCTCTAAGATATATTCAATTAGTTATATTTTATGGTACTTATAAGTATTTGATACGGTAACTTGACTGGTTTCGAGTTACGCAGGGGCTCATAATCATCAGCAGCATTGCGGGACAAACGACACGATAAATGTCGAGAAAGGAGTTAACTTGAAACTAGTTGAGTTAACTTGTCAAACAGTTACGTAAAACAGATTGGTGATATAATTCATACAATTTTATTGTTCTTGTTTATATTGACAGACTTCCCACCTAGGAATAATGTGGTACTGCGATTTGTTCATGCCTAAAACCTAAATTTTTACCGAAAATTAAAATTAACAAAAGAAATTTAACACTGAACATTAAGAGTATGTAACGTTCTCATAACATAACATCATGCCTTTTATCCCCGAAGGGGTAGGCAGAGGTGCACATTATGCCACTGTAGAGGTACAATGTAACACCCGCTTTTTACTATTTATGTTATGAGTCCTATGTAATAGGGAATGAGCCTATTGCCATATACCGGGCACAATTCCAGACACCGTGCTACTACTGAGAATTTTTTTAAAACCCAGTAATACTTTGTAACGTTCTCATCAACAGGAATACACCCTCCTAATAGAGCTACACCGTCGTGGCGGTAATCCAAACAACGTACTATGTCCTCGCTTCCCCCGCGGTAAGAACGAGGGCTGGATACTCACCCTCGGTACTGTTGATGATGGCGAGCTACACGCCTTGAAACGAGTGCCGCCTAGAGGAACTGCACAGGTTACCTTCTATACGCCTTCGAGGAAAGGTAAGCATAATTCTTATACAAAACAAATTATCAAGAAATGAACGTAATCTTCTTTAGACGGCTGGTAACGTATTTGTAGGTTCACTAATATAGTAAATATCTATGGGTGACGCTAGCGAGACGATCTCCAGCCACCGTAAGCACGAGCCTGCGGACGGCGAGCATGGGTAGCTCGCCGCCCGACCAGAACCAGACCCGAGCGTACGGAACGTCGCGTGGGCTAAGTGGGTGAAGCTCATCGCTTACCATTAAGCGATCCGTCAGCTTACTTACCGCTTAGCTAAAAAAAACTACTAAGGTTTTATGCACTAGGTAGCCGTTACCCTTGACTCACGTGAAAAGTAGTCTATATGACACTTATAGGCTTCTGAACTATCATCTGAATGACTATTCAAGGAAAAAGAAAACGGTATTTAAAAGACAAAGGGACGGATACGAATCTGTGAAGACTTATCAATAACCTCTCGCTCGTTTCTCGTACACACGGGTGTACGAGAGAGTTGAGTGCCCATCGCGCAATTGTACACACGGGACGAGAAACGCGCACCGATTGGATATTTTTTCTGTGACGTATATTTTCAAGTTTGCAACCCGTTTTTATTTGATTGAACAGAATAATTAATTCGCTTTTCTATTAAAATATTTACCCGTGTTTACGAGAACGCGCGTTTACTTGTGTGTACGAGAGGCGCGCGAGAGGATAAAAAAGTATCTTCAGGCATAAAGTTGATTCATTTAACGAACATATACAAAGCATTTATTAACCAAAAATATTTCTTTTTTCTCAGGTCGTATAATCTACACTCTATACGTGTTAAGTGACAGTTACATGGGCCTCGACCAACAATACGACTTACAAATAGAACTCATAGATCCACTGCCTTCTGAGAACATCGAGAGGGTCTACAACATAGATAAGACTATTATTGAATAAATCAACCTTGTGATTTTGTATTTATTATATTTATTTAATTAAATAAATTATTTTATAATTTTATTTTTGTGTTTTTATTGAATATCTTTTTATTGCCTTCAATCTAATTGTGAGTATGATGCATGTTCTCTAAATTGAAGGTTTAAATGCTTTTCGATTACTAAATTACAGATTATGTTACTGTTCGAGTACGCTCGACTAGTTTCGAGCCCAGACAGGGCTCATAGTCGTTATTTTTAGAAGCTATTAAACCTTTATACCAAGCGGTTGTCTACTCATTCAACATAACATTCAACAACATCTTCATAGCATTTTCACTGTTGGAGGTTAAGCCCCAGCAATAACTATACCTATAATAAATATACCTACATATGAATATGAATTTATCATATACTACAAGATGGAAAAAATAAAGGATGTTCAGAAACTGCCAGCTTTCTGTAATTTACTCATCTTTTCATGATAGTAGTGATGACGTCGATTAAACAAAATAACAACCCATTTTTTGTAAAATTCACTGTGAAATATTATATTGATAATCACCAGTAGCCTTCAGCCCCAAGCCTATCAATCGAAAATAGTACATTGTTTAAAAAAGCCTCAGAGGAACGTCTTAGATCGACAATACAAGAACATCGATTTTTTTTTTATTTTGATCGACACGAATTATGTCTGAGAGCCTAAAAGACTAACCTTATGCATAAAAGTGTTCATTGCATGGCTCCCAAAATATATAATAAAATCCCAAATACTATCAAAAATCTGAACTTGACGCAATTTATACGGGAACTTAATGATTTTGTAATCGAAAAATACTACCTATATACCATTGACAATATTTTTCTTGGCAAAATATTATCTATATATATACGTAACTGTGTGTTTATTAAATAATGAAAACTTGACTACTTGATTGTTTATTTAATGCTTATAATAATATGAAGGCGCGTCCTTGGCGCCATCTAGTAGAAATACTGAAAACCCATTTTGACATCTATTATGTGATTTAACAAATCACACTGATTGGACGAGAGTGACAATTGTGTTGTCACTCTGGCGGAACGTCATAAACGTCAAACAACCACCGGACTCGTTGACTTTGATTGCAACGATAGCGTGGACTAGACGGTTACGACGGATTGCTTTCGTCCAAAGTGTAAATCCATTTCCATCTGCGTTAAATTAAGCGATTATTGTGATTTACATTGTGAATTGTTATTATAAGGCTGCTGATCGAAGACCTGTCTAATTATTTCAATAAAAATACCCTGCGCGATTACCCACTTTAAGATGAGCGATTCTGATACTGGTACCCACGTGCCGTTATCAGAAGTGGGATGCGAAAAACAGTCGGATCAAGATACTCAGCCCCACAATCAACCTAGCAATAGTGGATTGCTTACCAATATGGAAGCCCTGCTAACCCGTTTGTTAGCAATGCCGCAGCAAACATCGCAGCCTGTAGCAAACACTAACGCGGTTCAGTTAATCAAGTTCGACCCAGATGACGAAGATGCTGATGTTAAGGGCTGGTGCCGTGTTTCGGAGTTGATTATACACAGCAAGAATTTAATTGGCGTGGAACTTTTGGTAGCTCTGACAACTGCATTAAAAGGACGAGCAGCATCTATTCTGACTAAACTGCGTCTGGAAGACTTAACCTGGGAAGTTGTGAAACAAGCATTGCTGGCGAAATTTGCAGAGCCCAAATTGATGCAGGACTACTTCGATGAAGTGTTGCGCTTTCAGATCGGAACAAAGGAGACTGCTAGTGAATCCGCTATGCGTTTATGGGCACTAATCGAGCGAATTCCTAAAGTCGAGATGTTAGAAGAGGCAATCACTGGGTTCGTTATTTCCGTTCTGAGCTCGAAAGACAACATGATTCGTCGTGAACTGAACTCCTATGCCATCACAACGCGTGCTCAACTCTTCCGGACACTAGGTGGGGTCTCTTTAAAGCGGCGTAGTGAAGATAATGATGGTAGTGATAATAAGATAAAAAGACCTCGTCCGTCAGACTCGAAGTTCAATGGGAAGTGTCATCGGTGTGGAGTTCCTGGACACAAAATAGCAGAGTGTAAAAGGCGACGTGACGACTCAGTTAATCGCGCTGATGGTTCCACGGATCAGATCAAGGACAAGTCGGCACCAATCACCTGTTTCTCGTGCGGGAAACCTGGCCACGTATCTACGTCGTGCCCTGAGAAGAGAGGCGGCGCAGCGGTCAGGGAGGTCAACACCTGCGAGCACAAGACTTCGAGAGGTAAACTAACGACGGCATCTGGTGAGCATATCTGTTTCCTTTTTGATAGTGGCTCCTCTTGTTCTTTGATTAAGGAATCTGTGTCTTCGGATTTCCCTGGCATTGAACGCAATAACACCGTTTATTTGACTGGCATTGGGGGAGACGATATTGAGTGTGATAGACAAATTTCTAGCACTGTCCAAATTAATAATCTTTGCTTGACTCTCTTGTTTCATGTCGTTCCAAACAACTGCATTTCAGAAAACGTTATTGTAGGTAGGGACGTACTGGAAAATGGAGTACGTGTTGAGATTGATAACGAAAATCTCTTCATATCCACTAATGAGAAAATAAATTTTTGCGAAAGTGTACAAGGTATTGACGTCGCGGCCCTAGATACAGATTTAGTCGGGGACGAGAAGGAAGCCTTACTGGGTATCTTGTTGAAGTATACTGATCACTTTATAAGTGGTACTCCAACTAAACGTGTTAATACGGGTGTAATGAAAATTGAACTTATTGACCCTAATAAAATAGTCCAACGACGACCGTACCGTTTATCTCCCATCGAAAAACAGGTGGTGAGGGATAAGGTTCAGGAGTTATTGAAAGCTGGTGTTATTCGAGAGAGTTCCTCGCCGTTTGCTAGTCCGATTCTATTAGTAAAGAAAAAGGACGACACGGATAGAATGTGTGTCGATTACAGAGAACTCAACTCAAACACGCGACCTGAGCATTACCCCCTACCACTTATAGACGACCAAATAGACCAGCTCACCGGAGCTTATTACTTTTCGTGTTTAGACATGGCCTCTGGTTTCCACCAGATTTTGATCCACCCAGAATCCGTAGAAAAGACAGCTTTCGTGACGCCCGAGGGACAATACGAATATGTTGCAATGCCATTTGGTTTACGCAATGCACCCTCGGTATATCAGAGGTGCATTAATGATGCACTTAAATATTTGAAAGATGGACCCCTAGTGTATATGGACGATGTGCTCTGCCATTCCTCTGACGTCACAGAGGGTCTACGACGGTTAGACCAATGTCTGGGAGCTCTGACGAAAGCTGGGTTTTCGTTGAATTTACGTAAGTGTAAGTTTCTTAAAAACAAAGTTAACTATCTAGGTTATGCTATCCAAGCTGGCGAGATTAGACCCAATTCCCTTAAAATTCAGGCTTTGGCCAATGCTCCTCCCCCGAAGACAGCAACTCAAGTTCGCCAATTTCTTGGCCTATCTTCATATTTTAGGAAATTTATCCCTAGTTATACTCAGATAGTTGGTCCGCTATACCCTCTTACAAAGTTAAAGGGAGGCATTAAGTGGACCGAGAAACACGAAGAGATCAGACAAAATGTTATTCGGGTTCTCACGTCAGAGCCGGTTTTGACAATTTTCGACCCAAAACTGCCAGTAGAGCTCCACTGTGACGCTAGTTCGGAGGGATACGGGGCTATAGTTATCCAAAGAAAGAACAATTTGCCACACGTAGTGGCTTATTTTAGCCGCCGCACGACTGAGGTTGAGTCTCGTTATCATTCGTATGAACTAGAGACTCTGGCAGTCGTGCGAGCGGTCGAACATTTTCGTCACTATTTGCATGGCCGGAAGTTCACAGTCTATACCGACTGTAACTCGTTGAAGGCATCTAAATCAAAGGTCGATTTGACACCCCGCGTTCATAGGTGGTGGGCCATGCTTCAAGCGTACGATTTTGATATTGTTTATCGTGAAGGGAAAAGCATGGAACACGCCGATTATCTATCGCGAAATCACCTACCTGAGACCACTTTGACAGCTGACACTGACCCAACTTTGGAAAATTGTTCAGATAAGTTTAAGGCCTCCCCTAGTCCTGCAAAGAAAGTAGTTAAATTTGTAGAGTTGCATGCTGGTTGGTTGTCTGTCGAGCAAAAGCGCGACGCTGAAATTCAAGACATTCAAAAGAAATTTTTGGACGGTGATTTACCGGAGAATGTAGCACAAACTTATGACGTTAGGAATGGCGTTCTTTACCGGAAAATTAACCGCAATAAAACCGTTTCTTGGTTACCTATAGTACCCCGCTCATTGGTATGGACTCTGATCAGTCACATTCATTCGGAAATTCAACATTTGGGCCCCGATAAGACTCTCGACAAAATTTACGATCTATATTGGTTCCCCGAGATGTCGAAAAGTGTTCGCCGGTTTGTCGACTCATGCATAATATGTAAAGCCTCGAAAGGACCCTCAGGTGCCCAACCAGTTAGACTACACCCCATTCCGAAAGAGCCAACCCCTTGGCACACACTCCACATAGATTTTTCTGGAAAATTGACAGGTAAGAGTGATCAAAAAGAGTACTGTTCTGTCATCATTGATTCGTTTACCAAATACGTCCTGTTGGAACACACCACTTCTTTAGATGCGGTGAGTGCCATTTGGGCACTGAAGAAAGCTGTTTGTCTGTTCGGTGCTCCTAAACGAATTGTGGCTGATCAGGGTCGCTGCTATATTAGTGGTGAATTCAAAAAATTTTGTGCGGAACATCACATTGATCTTCACTTCATCGCCACTGGCTCAAGTAGAGCAAACGGTCAGGTCGAACGGGTAATGCGAACCCTAAAATCTTTACTTACAATTATTGAAAATGATCCGCATAAAAATTGGCGCGATGAGTTAGGCAACGTACAACTTGCTCTAAATAGCACAAGGTCTACTGTCACGAAATATACCCCGACTGAATTAATGTTTGGAGTTCAATC